TCCGGGGCCTGGAGTATTGCATTTAAACCATGAGTGATTTGCTGAAGAAAAATTAAATTTGGCTTTTAAGGTTTAGAGAAACTATTCTGAAACAAAGCTGGACCCCTATTTCCACATTTTCCTTTAAATTCATTTAAACTTTTGATATGGGAGTTATGAGCTCACAGAGGTTCACTGACTTGCTGAAGGATATACAGCAAGTCAGGCAAGACTTGAACCCAAATCTGTCTGAGTCAGGTACCCATTGCACGGCACTAAAAGCAGTTGAGGAGATAAAATGGAAATACAGTCAAGATGCAAGTGGGAATCTAAAGAGATGACTGGCTAAAAATGAGAATTCAAATTCAATAAAGTCGTATCTTTTTCTCTCTCATTCTTTGACTCAAAATTACCATGCTCGTACATAATATACATAAAGATTGGCAAGTCTGAAAAGTGACGTACTCTATCTCCGGTTGAAGTAGTATAAATTAAAAATGGAAAGGAAAGCATATCAACTTGAGATCTATCCAACAAATGCGGTTTCCATAGGCTAGATCACATACCCATGGCTTGATGATAAAGCATTTGTTCGCCGGTTGCATAAGACCAGTAGTAAGCCATCTGGTCTGTTCAGTTTACATCAATGTATCGAGTGTTATTCCAAGTTTTTGATATTTGCACAGCTCATAAGTAATGAGGCTCCTGGCAGAGGCTCCATCATAACCTAATTTCTGGGGAAGATTTTATTTGATTTTTGTTTGTTTTCCATAGCAAATCCAAGACTGAATGCTGCTTCAAGAAAAAAACAAAAGGGAGGAATTTTGTTGAAGTGGAAAGACTATGGTCCCCAAGTTTAAGTACAGCCATGTGCCATATTCCTCTACTCAGCCCACTGTGTGTTTGTGTTCTCCTCCCCAACCCATTTCAAGGAGGAAAGAGGCAAATTACAGTTATACCTGTATATTTCCCCCACCCCCATTTCCTTTCCTTTTTTTTTTTTCAAATTTGTTGTATCTGAAAGTATCTTTAGGAAGACTAGACCTTTCCTGTCCCTAAACTGACTAGAAAGAAGGAACTGTGTGACCCCAGCTCCTGTGGAAGAGAAAGCATCATTACTGACGCCTTTCCCTTCCTTCCCCACACTGTACTTTTTGGTTGCCGACTTCACACCCATTCTGTGCATCTCCCAACCTCAGACGATCTGAAGCCAGCTGGGGCTGCAGCTGTTGGCTGGTCCTTCCCTTCAAACAATGGAGCTTAAGCAGCAAACCAGATGTCTTTTTAAAAGCTGAAATTGAAAGAATGACACCATGTCCATCACCTTTAAAATACTTTATAAATTTCTTCACTCTCTCCAGCTTTCTCTCCCCCCAACCCTTTCACCCAAATACATAGGCAGCTACGTGAAGGCAACATTTTACTCTAGAACAATGGTTCTCAAACATTAGCCTGCATCAGATCACCTGCAAGACCTGCTAAAACATAGATTGCTGGGTCCCACACCCAGGCTCTTCCACCAGGTAGTTCTGGGATGAGACCTGAGAATCTGCATTTGTAACAAGTTTCCAGGTGATGCTGATCCTACAGATCCAGGGCCCACATACTGAGAACTACTCACCAAAACAGGACAACTGACAAGGAAAGAAAGACAGAATTTAAGGTTCCAACTCACATTAACTTCAGCTGTGGGACCCTGGGAGCACTGACTTCCCTCATACACAGAGGCAACATGGTGGGATTAATACAGGAAGGTGGAAGCAAGGGCAGCCCGGTTTGAATTATTCCCTGTCTCTGTTGGCCCCTGAAAACACTGAGAGCTATAGTATCAAGAAAAGGAAAATGAAATTATGGAAATAAATTTATTTCCAATGGAAAATTATTACAGAAATTAATAAACAATCATTTTAAGCCAGTCAGCTCTTTAGAGTCCCACTTGCATCTTGACTGTATTTCCATTTTATCTCTTAAACTGCTTCTAGGGCTGTGCAATCGGTACCTGACTCAGACAGATTTGGGTTCAAGTCTTGCCTTACTTGCTGTGTGTCCTTATGGGGAAAATGGAAGTCCCCTATGGCCAGGATCCTCACCTAACCCTAAACTCCTTGATGATGTAATTGGCCAACTGCTAGGCTGATGCTTCCACACCTGTAGGCAATAAGCTATTATTGACAGAGTCACTATATACAGAGCTCTGCCCAGTGCTCTGGGCAGGGGCAGAGACAGAGGTGGATTATGGACCAGCAGACTGCTGGATGAAGATGTGATTCTAGTGCTCAACCTAATGCCGGGGGAATAAAGCCAGGTATGTTGGTATGTTCTGTTGTTATTTCTTGGTCTCACTGAATCCATAGTGAACTTGCCAGGACTGAAACACTCAGGCAAGACAGTCCTTCAGCAAGTCAGTGAACCTCTGTGCCCTTATTTCTCCCATGTGAAAAATGGAAATAACAATCATTTCTACCTATAGTATTGTTATGTGGTGGATACCGGTTCATTTCTCATGTGCATGGACTGGCACATAAACAGTATTTATTGTATGACACACTCATACAATTTTATCATGAATGGTCATATCTCTTGGCTTTCCTGTGAGAATATTCAAGATGTTAAATATCACACTATTTGATGCAATTGGTTCAGTCATTACTTCAACAAATATTTATTGAGTGGCCACTATGTGTCAGATGTATAGTATTATACAAGTATATAAAAATAATGTCTTGGCAAGAAAAATGTTTGCTATAAATATTATCTTGATTTGGAAAATTTTGACTTTATGTGAACTTGTATTTAAGAAAAATACTTACTTCCAAAATTGGCTAGCTAGGGAAATGCAGAGGATGTGTTTACAAACCCCAAATTTGTTTTGACAGACACTAAAATAATAGAATGGAGGAAACCAGGGGAAAGTAATTCTGCAGATGCCTTGGCCTTCTACTTTTAAGGGTATATTTTAGACCCTCTTGAAGACCACAAGCCCATTTTTCCTGAAAACGATTATATTTATGTAACAAAACAACAGGGAATAAATTTGGCCAAAGGTATCCTATTTTCAGTTCACAAGGATATCACTTTTTAACCTATCACATCTGTCAGAATCTTAATTGACAAGTAACAGGAGCAATGTTCATTCTTCCATTCTTTGCAGTCCCCTGAGTGAATGCTGTAAATTCACCCTGCCACTAACTGACCCCCCAAAATGTATCAGGCCTTGCCTTTTTGAAATATATAAGCTAGCACTAAATCTGGATACGACACATATTTGACTGAATTTTAAAAGGTTAATGTGCTAGACATTGAAGATTCTTGATTTTGCCCTTATTAGGGACTTTGTCCCTTCCCCCTCCCAGGTTTTCAGGTCCCCAGGAAGAGAAGCAGAACCAATAGATCTTAGGAAGTGGGTGGAGGTGTGAGAGACAATCTAGTCCCACCTCAGCCTGCAGCTTGGGTATCCTGCCCATAGCTAAGTGCTCTTAGGACACTGAACATAGATGTCTTAATTCCCTGTCCGAAGTATTTTCTCTACATCACTGCCCTCTATATTTTACTTAAAAGGAACTTCAGCAAAGAACCCATTATCAGATTTTATGGAGAAAGACCGAGCTTCAAAAACACTTGCCTCCCAATGCCAGTGAACAGGGATTGCTGGTGGTGGTTAAAAAGAAAAAAAAAAAGTTACCTTTGTGGCAGCAGCAGATGACTGAGAGCTTATGAAGATAAGACTCCATAATACAAAACTCAGGGAAAAAAGAGATTTGACTCTAATAAAAGCATTCATTATTCCAAATCCTCTACGAAACCAGATGCTAAGGATTAAGTTTTGGTAATCTACTTGGCCAATATTTTCCTTCAGTTTTCCCTAACGCATCTTACAAAACCAGAGTTGCCTAAAGTTTCTACTGAAATCGAAGTGTAACTTTTAATATCTGAGTTTCTCTACACGCTAACAGCATTATTTTCTCAGCGTTCGCGTTTCAAAATGCTCTGACACATTTGTCACTTTGCCGAGTGGTTATTTTCCCTTTGAAAACGGTCGGTCTCCCATCTAGCCCCGTGGCTTCTGTGACGGAGGGGCTTTCGTGGGTCAGTGTGGCAGCCTCCAGCCGACCGTAGTCATTTGGCCCCTTACTGTTCCAGCTCCTAAGGGTCTCCCCTTAGCGCACCCGCCCCGTCCTGCACATACGAGGTTTGCCGGGTGGCTCAGGTTTATCACCTCGGACGTCAGCCCTCCTAGCCTCTCTCTTCGCCCACGTAAAGACCTCTTCGGACCACAGCCGTGTGAGGTTTGCATCCTCCCTTAGCCAGGGCGCGCGAGCCAGCGTCGTAGCGGGGATCTGGGCGTGCGCTCGCCGGCCTGGCACCTCTCTCTGCTACGGGTCACGCCCTCTCTTTGGAACCCCTTTTCTCTCTGGGCACAACTCCTTCTTTACCTCTGCTAAAATAGGCGGCCTCACTCCTAATAAACCAAACTCGGACACCCCTAAAAAGTTCTAATTTGAGACACACTTGGCAGAGGATCATAGGGTCAAAGCAGGCACTCCTGGCAGAACCGACCGTGGAGAGGAGCTAAACCCACCCGCACGACCCGGCGTGCTGGACAGGACAGGACTATGGTCACTAACGATGCCATGGAGGGGCTGTCCCGTGGGGAAGCGAAGGCCTCCCCACACTGTCAGACCTGAGCATGCACACACCCTTGTACACCCACAGACGCACACGCGTGCACTCCTCCCCAGACCGGGAGGCAGAGGCGGGGGGAGGTATGCAGTGTCCCGCCCGGGAGTACCTGCCCGGCAAGTCAACTCAGCGGCGCCCCGGCCTTTGCGCACACTGACGGGCGCGCGGGAGGAATCGGGCGCTCCGGGCCGCGGCCCGGGTGCTCGCGGGCGTCCCACCAGGGGAGCCTCGGGGCGGCGGCGGCGGGCGGTGGGAGCACCACAGTCCCCGGCGCGTCCCCTCTCCCCGCAGCCCAAGTTCGCGCCGCTGGCGCCGCCCTCGCGCCCGCCTCCCTTCCTTACCCAGATACTGCCGCAGGTCGAGCAGGAAGCGAGGGGGTCCCCCGCTGAGCTGATAGAAGAGGGAGCCCAGGCAGAAGACCAGCAGGGTGGCCATGCAGAAACCGTAGTCCCGGAGGGAGAAGCGCAGGAAAGGCAGCAGGGAGACCCGGCGCTTCCAGCTGCCCAGGCCCGGAGGGGCGCCCCCCAGAGCCGCCCCATGGGGCCAGGGATCCGCGCCGCCGCCGGGATGCCGCTGCTGCTTCATCGCCTGCTCCGCCGCCTCGCGCAGCCTGCCCGGGCCAGGGAGAGGTCACCCATCCGCCTGCGAGGAGAGCGCGGCCGGCCGGCGGCACATGGGCAGGGCCGCGCGGAGGGGCAGCCCGGGTGGGGGCGGGGAGGGTCGCAGTTGCTGGGCTCAGGACACTTTCCTCGGCATGGTCCCCGCCGCTGCGGCCCGAGCGGCCGAGGTGTCCGGCCCCGGCTCGGGGGCGCTGCCCGCGCCCGCCGTCCGGCCCGCTAGCGCCCCCGCGCCTCGCGCCCCGCCGCGCCTCGGGCTCGCTCGCGGCCGCCGGGGCTCGCCTCCAGCGCCAGCGTGGACCCCCCGGCTTTGTGTCTGTCGGTCTCGGCGTGTTTCGTCCCGATTCAGACTCCTCTACAAAACGGCAGGGAGGAACCGGAGGCGGACACCGTCCCCTCGCTCCACCTCCCCGCCAGGGGTTCCCTCCTCTCCTCGCCTTTCTCTCCGGCTCTCCTCCGCAGCCCTCTCTCCTCCCCGTGCCCTCCCTCCCTCCGCTCGGGTCTCCGGGCTTCTCTCGGGTGTCACGTTACTGCCGCTGCCTGGGGGGAGCTGGGGGGCCGCGATGATTCGCAACAAGGAAGAAAGTTTCTGGGTGTTTTTTTCCTTCCCCCTTTCTCTGCAATCTGGCCTCAGTGCCTGCGCCACCAGCGACCTCTTGGGGGCCCCGCTGCCTTCCCTCTTGTAAACAGTCACGGTCAGGAAGAAGCACTTCTTCTACTATATTTTTTTCATTTCAGAAACTTGATGCCCCTTCTGTATCGCGAACTGCTTACAAACGGCCAGTTAAAGGGACTTGGATATAAGTTCAAGATTTTGCTGAGATGGTAAAAGACAAGTGGTGTCGATTATAATTAAACTCGCCCCGTAGGGCCAGGCTTATCGCCCCGACCCTTGGAAGAGACACAGAAGAGGACGCTTGCTTTTCGCTCGCGCTGGGTACACGGCTACGGATCCACGTAGCGACCGAGAGGAGGGTGGGGGAGGGGCATGGTACCGAGCCGACTCACAGAGGTCCTTCCTCCAGCATATAGGAAAGGATCCCTTACAAACGCGCCCTTCCTTCCATGGGAAGCTTCTGGACCTGAAAGAGAACCTCCCAAAGCAGAAAGGCTGCATCGCGCCCAGATCCACTGACGGGGTGGGTGCACTAAAGGGCTGCCCTATCAGCCACACTTTCAATAAGAACAGTTTAATGTTATATACCGAAGCTGTACTACCTGAGACTTAGGTGACTTGCCCAAGGTCACAGAGCTCATGGGAGGGGAGCTGGAAGCCACACTCAAACATGTTTGACCCTCAAGCCCACAATACTAACCACTACAATCTCCCAGCCACGGCCCTTTTCCTCATAATTTGTGCGGTGATTGGAGGATGAGATACTCTCAACCTTGAGAAAGGGGAACCTCCCTCGGGGTTCTGGTGCCTCTCATCTCCAGCTTCCTTTGCCCAGTTAGTGACAACTGGTTTAAAGGAAGAATCAGAAGCCAAGGACCTCTAGGATTCTAAGACTGTTTTCCTGAAAACCTTTACAGTGTTGGGAATCTGAAGAATTTTATATGGAAAATTAGGGAATGGGATCCTGAAATCGAAATAACGCATACATTTTAAGAATAATATGGTTTAACCATAATCCAGACATAAGGATCTCTGGTTGACAATTTGAGATGAAGAAGACACATACACCATAAGCTGGAGAGAGTTATAGATGAAGTGGGTGATATTACATACATTCACACACATCCACACACTCACACGTGCGTGCAGACAAATTCTACTTCCCAATTTTATACTGCCCTAGCCTACTTTGTCAGGAACAGGAAGGTTGCTTTGGGGGTCCAAGAGAAGGGAAGCCCTTTTGTTCTATCACAGAAAATCCTAGATAAAGTGTAAATGGTTCGTTTCACATTTATTCTATGAATCAGAGATTTATTTGGATTAATGCACACATTATAGAAATGTGACTGCCCCTGAGAGAATTAAGCCAATCAGTCATTGTCCATTAATGTGAATTACTTTAATCAGCACACTAAGTAGCCCAAAAGAGGCTCCCAATTAATAATTTTTTAGTTAATGCAGAGGGCCTAGGAGATGGGAGAAGCAATGCAATTTTCATAATGCTTCAGAAACCACCTTTGAGAAATTGGACCTGTACCTGAGGCCTGGTTCTATAATCTGAATATTTTTCATTAGATGTGATATGATGTACAAGAGCCTCCTTATTTATGAGACCCACCTGGGGTCTAGAGACTTCTCTCACAGAATGCGTTGGGAAACCTCCCAATTCTCCTAAGGAAAGGAGTCCGAACAAGAGTGAGTTTATAACAGGGAGATGAAACAGGAAGAAAGGAAATAAACATCTGAAAAAAATTAATAAATAGAACAAAAGTTTTAACAAATAATGGAAAGGTTATGAGGAAAGCTCAAGCGGGCAAGGTCTGGCTTAGACCTTAAGCTACGACATGAGGAATTGTGAAGGTAAAAATGGGTCAGTTCTTAAAAGATGTGTTAATGGACTAACTGCCTAAAAAAAAAAAACATCCACAGAAGGAAAAGAAATCAATATACAAAGAAATTTCACATGTAAAAAAATGCTTTGTATTTTCAGTTAACAAAAACTTAGATATTTGGGTAAAACTGAAGTCCTGTCAAATGTGAAAAACACCTTTTAATTTAAAGTACTTATACTGATGAAGAGCATCATTATTCAAACTTGTTAATAAATCTCCTAATTATAGGAATTTGCAATTTTTATTATTAGCCTTATAATCTAATATATTTTATTTAATACCTTGATCTCCATCCATTATCTTGGGCTTCTTCACCCCTTCTCACTCCAGTGACTTTCCCCTTCACACCTGAATTCCTTATTTCCAACAATTGCATCCTCTGGCCATTATCACTTTCTGTCCTACTGCTTAGCTTCTCAAGGAGCCACATGAGCAATTTTTCATCTTTTCAGGAACCCTCAACTTTTTAACCCGTCACTCTTCTAGTGTTAAAGAAGTGATAAAGAACTTCCTTCTTTATCCAGTTTTGGTTCCTGATCCATCATTACAACCCCTGTCTTGCGGACACCCTTCATTCCCTGTTCCTTTCATCTTATATCACACGTATTTGCCCGGCAGAACCCAGGTAAGCCCAACAGTACCACTGGACCAGATTGCAGTATTGCTTTAGTTTTATGTTTGATTAGACCTTAAATCAGCACAAATTTCCAATGGTGCTGACTCATGGCTACCCAGCAATCCCACTCTTCAAAGGAACTATTTCACACATCTCTCTCTCTTCTCCTCCCATCTCCACCCTCTTCTTTCATTCCTGAAGTCTTAGCCTATGACCTGGCCTCATACTTCACCGAGTAAACAGAAGCAGTAAAACAGGAGATTATTCCCACATCAATCTGTGCCCCATGCTCTCTGCCTTCGCACCTGTCTCATTGTGTCCCTCCCTGTGTCTAGGAGGGCAAAACTACCCTCGACTCACTCCCATGCTCTCCACCTTCTGCATCCCTGTAAATAACTATCAAACTATTCCTTAGTTTTTTCCCCTCTCACTCTGGCATCTAACCCATGTGCAAATCTTAGAGGCTCTACCTTCAAAAAAATACCCAGAACATGCCTTCTTTTGCTACCACCTTCTCCTACCTGGATTATTTTTTCAATGGCCTCTGAATCAGTAATGCCTAGGCTTAGCTGTGATTAACTGGGAAATCCGAAATAACAAGGGCTTAAACAAAATGGAAATGCATTTCTCTCTCAAGTGAAACAGTCCAGAAATAGGCACTGCAGAGCTGATCAGGGACCTGTCGGAGGTTTCTCTTCCACCATCCTCAGCATGTGGCTTCCTTTAAAAGGCCACTTTATGATTCAAGATGGCCACAGGACCTCCAGCCATCATGTTTCTGTTCCGACTGGCAAAAGGAGAAAGCAAAAGAAAAGAAGCCTCCCTGGCAATGGGGTAGGCTCTTTTGAAGCACCATTCCAAAAATGGGACTACTGGTTTTCTTACAGTTCTTTGACAAGAACATAGTCACAGGATCATCTGGCCCTATTTTCTTTCTGATCTCATCTCCTATCACTTTTCCCTACTTGTCCTGCCCCATCATTGCTCATCAGATGAACACAACTTGCTCCTTTGCATGTGTGGTCATTTAATCCTCCCAACCACTTTGTGCTGTAGGTACTATTATTTTCCCCATATTACAGTAAAGAAACAGACAATGAGAATAATGGATATTAGCTGTGGTAGACCTGGTCTGCAAAAGCATCCTGGAAGATGTGGTACATGAACTGGATTGTAGGATGAGTCAGATTTATAGCTGGGCAGTGGCCCAGGGGCATTCCAAGTAATGAGAACTGACTGAGAAAAAGTACCAAGCTGTGGGAGGGGGAGGGTAGGTGGTGGGGCACAATAGCAAGTCTGCCTGGGGAAGGAAGGCAGAGATGCATGAACCACGTCAACACTAAGAATAGGGGACCCCAATCCCAGCAACCAACTGGAATCTGCCCAAAGACTCTGTACAGATGTTCCCCTTTGCGCCAGTGCCCACAGGCCTCTTAGCTCTTAGGCAAGTGTTCGGCAGAAAGTCTTGATTTTATTTTAATTAAATGTACTGCAAGGAAAACAATATTAATATAGGCAGTGCACAAAAAACAGGCATGATTTAGATTTTCACAGAAAGAATTAATTAAAAAGGTACTCTAACTACTGTCCTTGTTTCATAGTTCTAACATAACAGTGCAAGTCTAATTGATGAAGTTTGGTGCTATCTGAGAAAAGAGAAGGCCCACACAGGTATTTTTCTTTACATAAGTCTTTGTTTAGTCCACATAAAAAGCCTAGAAAATTAACTGTGTTTACAGTTTTAAAAAAAACCCTGTTAACAAGTGCAAGTATTGAATGCCTTGCCTTAACAGATAAAAATTATATCCCCCTAACAGTGAGGATTGCTGTTGGGACCATAGTTTTAAATCTCTTGGCAGTATAAATTATTACACTAATTTTAGAGTGGATTGTCTGGCTGATTTATTTTCACCCTGTTCACAAGAGGTTCCAAACTGCATCCAATTTTTTGCTTATATTTTTCTTATAAAATTTCTTGACTGGAATTTCAGTCTATGTTAATATAGTTTAAAATCATATTCCTTTCAATCAAGCAATACATATACAATTTGTGCTATTATGTGCCTACCACTCTACTAATTGCCACTGAAGAAAATAGTAAAGTGGAAGACCAACTGTTCAGCCTTCAAAGAATTTGCAGTCTTTTCAGGAAGACAGGATTGTCATAAATGAAGAAATCTGACCATCATGCAAGACAGTGTATAATTAAATGCTAAATTGTTATACCCTGCAAATAGTAAAGTCATTCAAATGTTTAGAAAAGTCCGATTCTCAGTTCATTTTCAAAAGGAATAATTTTTTTCTTTATTTTTGAA